ACTGAGCCACCCAGGCGCCCTGGCCTGAACTTCTTAAGGCCTCATTTTAGCCAGAAAGTGGCAGAGTTGGCACACAATTCACTTAACTCCTAAACTTAGCTAGGAATACATTTCTGTTGATGTAAGTTGATTTAGATTAAAACAGAGTAATGCTTAGCTTCTCTGGAAGAAAATAACTATCTCTTTTTCTTTACTACTTGATGTTTTAAGATACTAAATGGATTTATGTGACAGAGAAGCTGGGATATTTGAGGGAGGAGGGCAGTTGAAAGTAATTGTTCTGCATTTTAGGATAAGGTAACCTCGCTCTCTTTTCTGAAGGTATAGTTGTGTAAATACTTGTTGCAGAGCTTAAAAGTTGAAGGACTATGGAAAGTGTTTATTTTATATATTAGAATACTGTTGTAAAGAACTTGGACAGCATTTCTTAGGCAGAGCTCTGTTGGTTACGTTGGCTTTTATCTATGTAATGTATTTCAGAAATTTAAAAATACATAATGTACTTTAATATTCATCTGTAGGATTGTTTTTGTTGTATAATTGAATAGATGAGTAGATTATACTTGCTAATGAAACTTATAGCTTTTATTTATTTTAAAAAGGTTTTATTATTTGAGAGAGAGAGAGACGAGAAAACATGAGCAGGGAGGGTGGGGGACAAGCAGACTCTGCCCTGAGTGCAGAGCTTGACACGTGGCTTGATCCCAGGACCCTAAGATCCTGACCTGAGGCAAAACCAAGAGTTGGGTGCTTAACCAACTGAGCCATCCAGGTGCCCCAATTTATAACTTTCAGTGAGAATATTTTCCCTAGGGCTCTTTATTACTTTTTGCACTTAAAATAGATTACATGATAAGCTCACAACAAAGTTAGGCATTTGAAGGATGGCTTATTTATGAGAATAGTAACAACATGTATTCTCTCTTATTGTAGGAGAAATGGGAGTTATTACTCCCATTCACTTTTATTAAAGTGAAACTTGAAGTAGTTTTTAAAAATAGGGATACTAACACTGTTCACATAAACTTTTTAAGTCAGAAAGATATTTATTATATAAAACAATTAGAAACAGCCTAAATAAATTTTGTGACATTAAGACAGCAGAATGCTCTGCAGTTATGAAAGTGATGTGTGGGGTGCCAGGGGGGCTCGGTTGGTGAAGCATCAACTCTTAATTTCTGCTTAGGTCGCGATCTTGGTATTTTGAGGTGGAGCCCAGGGCTCCTGCTGGGTGTGGAGCCTGCTTCGGATTCTCTCTTTCCCTCTCCCTCTGTCCCACCTACCCCCCACCTCCCTCTCTTAAGAAAAAAAAAAAAAAGTCATGTAATACAACATTTAATGACATCTCACAGACCTTTGTTGTAGCTAAGCATACTAAGTACTCCCATAAGCTATTTATTAGGAAATATTTCCTTCAGTAATGCTGTAAAGTAATCTAGGTCAGTGGCTTCCCTCTTTGAGGGAAATGGAAGCCCTCAGGGAAACTCCCAAAGTTAGGGGTCTTGCCTGAGCTCTGAAGAGCTAGTTTAGCCAGGGCAGTCTCCAGACTCCGCTACCACTGCTCTTTCCTCTTGTTAGTAAAAGTAGTGGTGGTATTTTTTCTGGTTTGGTTTTAGACTTGGTTTTGCTTCTATCCCTTTTAAGGTATCAGATGTCAGAGTTAGCTTTTAATTTTTAGCTTTTCAGTATTTTAGGATTAGCGATTGGTACTTCTGAGATAATGAAAACTGTAGTTCCTTGCCTTCCGTTGGGAAAAGTCTAAGAATAAAACAGATATTAGATGCCTTCTAAAGGTAAGTAAATATAAATCTAACAAGTTAAATTATGTTTAAACCCATTGGGTAGCATTAAAAATTGTGCATTGAATTTATGTAATCATCCCTTTGCCTATACTTAATGGCTTGTTAGTTGAGATCTGTTATTGGCTTTTCTTAAACGTAAGTGCACTTTTTAAGTACTTTTATTGTTTGGCATAAACATTTTGCCAGAGTTTTTCTACCACTAAGTGCTGGGAGAATTAATCATAATACCGATTTGAATCATATTTTCATCTCTCATTTAGAAAGGTTAACAAAAAATGTTTCTGATAAAAATTAAAGATAGTAAAAATGAATTCCCCAAGTACAAAATGGATAGGAAGTTTGAGGTTTGCTGCTCACTGATATGCTTATGCATAAGCCACTATAGCCACTTAGGCACCAGAGCCACTGTTAAAAAAGAAAAAAAAAATCTTTGAAGTTATATGGTGTTTAGGATTAGGAGAAAGATTGGAAAGCAGAAATAGCAAAAGAAACCTGACCTTGAGACAGGTTTCTCGACCGAGCTGGCATGCCTTATGGGCAGCCTTACCCCAGACAAATACATTGCCAGAATGTTGTCATTTATTGTGTTATACTCTTTATTTTTTTTTAAGGTTTTAATTTATTTGTTTGAGAGAGAGCGTGCATAAGCAGAGGGAGAGGGAGAGGCAGACTCCCCGCTGAGCAGGGAGCTGGTGGGGAGCTTGATTCTAGGACCCTGGGATCATGATCTGAGCCGAAGGCAGATGCTTAACTGACTGAGCCATCCAGGCGCTCCCTGTGTTATACTGTTTCGATTCTACTAAATAAATTTCAATTTAAGGATTTTTATTTGCAGAACCAATAATATTTCTGAGAAGATTTGGCTGAGTCATTTAATTCTGAATTGATCTAGTTGCTTAACACTGTTGAAATCTCTTGAATTAATTTTAACAATTTTTAGGGACTTGAATGACTAGGGAGAGGTTACTAAAAGTCAAGGGAGCTCTATGCTAAAAAGCCTGGGTGGCTCAGATGGTTAAGCGTCTGCCTTCGGCTCAGGTCATGATCTCAGGGTCCTGGGATCGAGTCCCGCATCGGGTTCCCTGCTCAGTGCAGAGCCTGCTTCTCCCTCTCCCTCTGCC